TTCAATAACACATTCTCAATTTTACATTAAACATGACGATCTTTCCACATCTCACATTGCTACTTAATTTGAATAATAATATTATCTCATCCCTTTTGATTATTTTGTATTCATTTATTTTAACGTTTCTTCTTAAAACAATCTCAAGTTATTCACGTTTCTTCAATTCCAAACACATACACAAACTCACTTTGAATGAAAAACTAGAAGGAATCGTGTGCTTCGCATGGGTCACAATGGTGGCATTTGCTCCATCAGAATTGTCTCTTGTTCCAAGAGCATATGGCGAAAGAATCAATATAATGGTTAAATTTTGGGTAAATCGCTGGAAATTACTCTTAATGGATAAAAGTCTATTATTTAGTCAAACAAAAATCGTCATGTCATGAAAGTTGTCTACTGTTTTGTAAAAATAATTAAAAATATCTCAATTATGATTTAAGGCTTAAGTCAGGGGATGGAGTTTTGTATGGATGTCTAATCTCATCAATCAAAATCTCATAACCCGATTCCCACTCATTTCAATTAAAACACAACTACTTTGCTATTCCTACTAAGTTTTACTTCTGGAAGCAACAATGCGAACCTATAATAGAATAGCATTCATTAGCTGTATTTACGACAATTGTGTTGTCCTGGTTTTACGACTTCCTTTTTTAATAACCATTGATCTACTTGGCCACCGATGCAAACTCTTACATAACCGTTTTAGTTAGCAAAACAGTATTTCAATGACATCAAGTTAAGTTAAGATAGTAGGGTGAATATTCAAAAAAATATAAAAGAAGATTGCAGAAGTACCTTAATATCAATAATGACTTCTCTTAAACATAAAAATCATCTACGTTTGGCATCGATAACTGGCCTAAAAAAGGGCAAAAACCATGATAAAAAAAACAAAACCACAAAGATTTACCATGGCTAAGATAATCTAATTGTTGAAAAACATTTAAAAATTATTGAAACTACTTATTTCTCATACATGTTAATCAAAAACGTAAATTGAAAGGCAATGACCTGAACTCGGCAGTAGAAATGATTGTCTGCAAAAGATGAAGATCGAGACCGAATCAGTGTTGGTGATTTTATCACCAAATATATTTTAGTGTAATGGACTTAACAAGTGTTTCAAGAATAATATTTTAGTTATAATACAAGTTAGGAGGTGCGGGAGTGTACACTTGTATTTACTAAATATTGTTAGTACTGAACCCTAATCTACTGTGTCAAGTCGGGGGGTCCCGCCCCGAAAAATTATTTAAGACAGTACAAGGTCTAATTTGTCATTCTTGAAAGATGAAAACCGTTTTGACTTATCTGTTGTTCGATAAGTCTGAGACAACGACTTCTTTTGAAACACAGAAAACACAGAACGCTTTCTAATCATCTTCTTCAAATCGATTCTGTTTTTTATGCCAAAAATCGGAATTGCTACATCAGGAATTATCCCAGTTTGGATTTCGTGATACCCAAGGCATATAGGGTCGAAATATCAAACAAGGAAAGTGTTTACACGATTCCTGTTTGTTATCCAGATTTCCCAGAACCCTTATTCGTACCTTATTCGTATTACCCAACAATCAGAAGGAAGATTTCTTGAAAAGGAAATTGTTGAAACCTAACTACACAAATGCAATGTTTAAGAGACAAAAAAAATTGTCAACAAGCAGCTTTTTTAAAGATGATCATATCTCATGAATCTAAAACAACAACAAATAATTCAATTAAGGGTGTTGAAAACGTCATTCCCGAACAACCGAATAAGGTTCACTTTATTTGGTTTTGGATCTAACCATTTATCTAAAATCTTATTCAATTCAATGTTTTATGACAAAATCTATAAGGCGGTCTAACCAATTAAAATGAATTATATATATATTTTTGTTAGAATTAATTTTGTGTCAATAGTAAAATATCTTGTAATAATTATAACTTCTTAATATGTTGTTATTTTTAGTATTTATTTTGCAAATAGCATGTAAATGTTGATGTTCATGGTGTTTTGAAGCTATTATTTTTTCAATATTTTGAGATTGAAGACATTTTTTTCAGTTTTGAAAGTAATTATTGATATATTACGGAGCAACTTCAAGCGTTCAACAGATCAACATATGCTTTCTTATTTTTACACACCTTTTATTTATGTTTAATCCTCTTACTTTGAGTTATGTTTATTATAGCCTTAAGTGTCAATATTTATAGGAAAAGATTTGAGTTGAAGTAAAATATAGATGTATTTAACCGAAATTAAACCAATTAAATAGAAAACCCATTAAATCGAACCCTATTCGGTTCGGGTTCGGTTAATAACTAACAAACAATAATATCCAAGAATTTCTTGAGTTGTATTAAATAAATCATGTTCATGTTCAGCAAATTCCATAATTTTCATGTATGGGTTAGAAGTTACCTTCACATCTTAGCCATAAAATAAAATCAGAAATGCATGTGGACCTGTAATGGTTAAAGGGAACATGTGGACCTAGTATAGTCAATCTTTGGACTTTCTATAACTTTTCTTGTTACCATACAAAGAATATATTCATTCAAGCTATCTGATTATACACAAATGATAAGCCAACCGATTAACTTAGCACTTAAAGTATATTACCTTTTCAGAAGAGTATAAATTTGGTGACATAAATTCTAATATAATTCAAGAAAAAAGAATTTCTATCTTTTTTTATCCGTTGGATTATAACATGGTCTTAGAATTACCTTATGTGTATCTTCTTGTTGTTCTTGATGATCAATCTCCTTGTTGAAATCCTGCATCTTTATACATGAAGTAGACATCATCAATTTCACATCATGGCTAAATGAGATCAGTGTTTTATACATCAATGTGTCAAATTTATGTCATGAAATTACCTTTTGTTGATTTTCTCCTTACTTAACTTGAAATCCATTAATTAGGCAAGGGAAGTAACTTGTCTATAAGAAACTCTTTCTTCCAGGGTATAGTTGACAAATAAACCGATTTCGCCAAACAATGGCACATCACTTTCCAATTTATATATAGCCAAAACAAAATATTCTACCAAATTCAAAACACACCATGACACATTTGAGTATACACATTATACCCATATAACCTACCGAATCAGAGACATGCTAACAGAGTCAAGAACATACCCAATTCGATACGAAAGCAAACACCTATGCAAACCCTTTTCTTTCAGACATTTCCTCGAACACCTGATATTCATACCTTTGGAATCTTCAATGATATACAGATACATCCGATCATTTCTCCTCAACTCCTACACGACCATAAGAATCCAGTTCACTTAAAGATCATGATTTCATCTTTCATTGTTTCCTCATTTTTTATTCTCCAAGCCTGTAAAGACCACCAAAGATTATGCAAGCATCTAATCATCAAATCAACGCATACCATCTATTATCCTGTTGTATTCAGTTTTAGAAATTTACCAAAGTTTAAAAATAAAGAAATTATGGAAATCTTACTGATCAGACGATGTTGACAGTGGCACCGACCTCACTGTAATCCTGAAATTCTAATTTGTAGCGGACACGATGCAATCGTGTTCGACTGTAGAAAAAAAACCTTTGATTTTCATGTGCGTGGAGGCAACAAACAACAACACCTTGAAGAATCACACCGTGAAGACATCAATATCAACAAATTAGCGATAACTTAAAAATGAAAGTGTAGTAGACCAAGCTTGGAAAAGTTGTGATGTAAATTACACAGTTTGTGCTTACCTGGGTTCCTCTTAAAAATCCCTAAACCCCACCGTTGTTGAATTGTAAAACTTTGTAGCAAAAAAAAAAAAGACAAAAAATGGGTAAAGTAGCAGAAGGGTCCGACGACCGTTCTTGCTCCTCCGGCTGGTCGGTCATGCTAATCGAAAATCGATCAAAATCGACGCTCCACTCTCCGATGGTCATCATAGAAGAATCAAGAACCCATGTGGGTTCAATTTATGGCCTTTGTGTGTCGATTTCTTTCAAAAGAAAGAGAGGAGAAGGTTTGGAGGAGCGTGGGAGCGGTGGAAGGAAGAAACTGGATTGTTGACATTCACAGTGATTGAAAGTTTTGTGGATTGAGAAGGTTGGTGAAGCGGTGGATGAGAGATCAAAGTAACTGAGGTGGATATATATAATCAAACCTTTTAAATAATAACTATCGAGAATTTTCCTGTTATATGATTTGTACAAATCTTATTAATGATTCCTTTCCGCCGTCATTTGGAATTACTCCCTTCAAATGTCCACTGACATTCTAAATATTCTACAATCATGTACTGTTTTAATGTAACCCAAGTAAATGTTTATATCATTGCAAACCTACTTACACACATACGCACTTTTGGGTTCCTTTCTACCCAAATATGTATTCCACTTTGCCTTACAAAATATAATGGGTGCACCCTTTTAAACACCTTCTCATCATTTTTAAAAAAAGTCAGTCTATAATAAATTACTTGTAATCAGTTTTTTCGGAAAACAATGCAATTTCAACCAATAAAAATACTTCAAAATTAATTAGGGTTGTCTAAATGGTAAAAATGGGTGTCTTTTTAGCCAACCCCAATATAAAACCAACAAGTACTATTTTCTTCCAAGTGTCCGGCAATTTCGGAAGCCTCCCGGCGGGAACAAACGTCGGTCATCTGGTCGTGAAGTCCACCTGGGTTTGCTTTTTCTCTTGTGTTTCGATTACTGGTAGGGCTTCTTTTTTATTGTCTTTTTTTATTATACATCCTGGATTTGCCAGATGATTCGTAAGGAAGCGGGGTGATTGGAAAATTGCAAATAAAAAAAAGGCTGGGTGGAATGTTGATAAGGTGTCCACATCTTTTTTTCTATCTAATTTTCCTCCTGATTTGGATAATAAGCAGCTTTGGTATATTTGTGAAAATTATGGTAGGGTTTCGGATGTGTATATTGCTCGGAAGTTATCCAAGTTTAGGAAACGGTTTGCATTTGTTAGATTTCTGAAAGTTCATGATGAGAAGCAGCTTGAATTGAAGATGTGTGATCTGTGGATTGGTTGCTATCATGTTTTCGTTTCTTTGGCCAAGTATGGAAGGGAGAACAGACGTATGCATGAGAAAACACAAGTGCATGTCAATATTGTTGGTGGGGGCAGTAATAAGTCCCGGAAACTATCTTATGCTAATGTTATGAAGGTTGATACTGTTAAGTCGAATAAGGCTGGGATTTTACTTAATCTTGAGGGTAAGGATATTGTTAATGATCTGGCTTTGAAACCATCAGTTTTCTGTCAAGTTAGAAGTGTTAGGTTGATTCCAAAGTTATTTCTTTTGCTGAAAGAGGAAGGTTTTCATGAGATACAGATAAAATATTTGGGTGGTGATTGGGTTTATGTGGAGTTCGAATCAGAGTTGGTGTGTGCGAAGTTTAAGAAGTCTTCTTCTGTTGGTGCTTATTTCTCTAACTTTAGGCACGTGGTTAATGGGTTTAAGGTCTTAGAGAGGGTTGTTTGGATTGAAATTCTTGGTTTACCATGTTGTGCATGGAATGATAGTGCAGTGAATAAGGTGGCAGGATTGTGGGGTGAAGTGTGTTTCTTGGATGATGATAATCAAGCTCCATTGGCGATTAAAAGAGTTTGTATCAAAACAATGAAACCTTCATTAATTCATGATAAATTATCTCTGGTGGTTCAAGGAATTACGTATGAGGTAGTGGTCAGAGAATTGTCAAATTGGGAACCGAATATTTTATGTAGTGAAGAAGCTTTAGATTGTGATATCCCGTCTCTCTCGGATGATGTGGAAAAGGGTGGTAATGATTTTGATGATGGTGTTGCTGAAGAGGAAGGAGAAATGACACCTAGGGGTAAAGTTAAGCCTATTAATATGGAGAATGATAATGCATTTGGCATGGAACAAGATTATGTTAGTAACAGGGGGCAGATTTTGTAGACCGGAAAGGTCGATACTTTCAAATAGATTCATTAAAATCTGATGCTCATATGTAGGGGTTCAAACCGGTGCCAGTAGATGTTCATGTGACTGAATCGGCTGATGGTGATGCTGTTCCGTTAGGCGATGAGGTTCGTGTGCCTGATCCGATAGATACTGCTGCTGATCCGATTGATACAGGGATAGGCCCTACAGTGGAGGTTGTGCAACGGGTGGGTGAGGAGAATGATTCGACTGAGTCTCTTTCACAGCCACCTGGGTTCAGGCGTGATGTCGAGATGGAACATGGGAATAGTAAAATTAAATGTAATTCTGCTAGCTCTCATGGTTCATCCAGATTGTTGAAAAAATGGGTTCCGGATGATATTGAAGATATTTCAGATATTGTGAAGCAGTATTTTGAAATGGGAAAATTACTTGGTTATGATATGGAGGGTAACAAAGATAAGGTGAAACAAATTTTGGCTAGTATTGGTGTGATTTAGGTTGCTCAATGAATTGTATGTCGTTGAATATTTGTAGCACCCGTTCCTGTCATAAGAGGAATTGGGTGAAGTCTTTGTGTGTTCAAAATGGTGTTTCGTTTTTGGGGTTACAAGAAACTAAGATGACTCAGTTGGATCTATTGAAAGTTCGAAGTATGTGGGGGAATCATAATTTTGATTTTGCTTTTCGTAGTGCTCGTGGGAGATCATGGGGTATTCTATCGGTTTGGGATCCTAATGTGTTTAAAAAAATAGTATTGTTTGTACCAGTAACGTGGTTATTGTTCAAGGCTTATGGGTGCCATTTAATATGGATTGTTGTATGGTGAATGTCTATGCTCCTCAAGATGTCACTGAGAAACGATTGTTGTGGAATTATATTTCTTCCTTTATTACTAGTTATGGGGGTAATTATGTTATTTTTGGAGATTTTAATGTGGTCAGGAGTTTTGAGGAGAGGTTTGGATCTATTTTGTGTTCCTCTTCTGCTGATGATTTTATAGATGATGTGGGGGCTGTGGATGTGCCTATGATTGGGAAGAAGTTTACTAGAGTTGACTTTTCTAATGTCAAACTTAGTAAATTAGATCGATTTTTGGTGTCTGAGGGTATTTTTGATAGGTTTCAGGGTTTGCAGGTGGCAGTGTTAGATCGGATGTGGTCTGACCATTGTCCTATTTTGCTTCATGAAGTTAAGGTTGCTTATGGCCCTTCTCCATTTAGATTCTTCAATTCGTGGATGTTGTTGGATGGTTTTGATGAGATGATTCGAGCAAGTGTTTCAGAGTTTGTGGTGAATCAAAGCTGGAGTAAATTTGTTTTGTTTAAAAATAAGCTTAAGTTTATTAAGAATAGGATTCGGGAGTGGCATGTCCAAGTCAAGGAGATCTGTGACCATCAGAAGGAGGAGTTGAAGTCTCGGCTTCATGATATTGATATTTGTATTGATAGTGGTGATCTTTCTATTCCTTTATGTAATGAAAGAAAACATGTCCTTGGGTCTTTGGCTGCTGTTGAAAAACAGGAGATGTCGGATGTCGTTCAGAAAGCTAAGGTGAAGTGGTCTATTCAAGGTGATGAGAATTCTGGGTTTTTTCATGGTATGTTGAAGAAAAGAAGGAGGCAGATGTTAGTTCGTGGGGTCTCGGTCAATGGGGAGTGCGTTACGGATCCGATGGTAGTTAAAAAAGAATTTTTTTGATTTTTACTCTTTTAAGTTTCAAGCGTTTAATGGTATTCCGATGACGGATAAAAGCTCTCGGTATTCTACTATTACGTTGGAGAATGCTTTGGGTTTAGAGAGACCTTTTACAGTAGAAGAGATTAAGGTGGCGGTTTGGAATTGTGGTGGAGATAGAGCTCCAGGTCCAGATGGTTTCTCCTTTCAGTTTCTTAAACATTATTGGGATATCTTGGGAGATGATGTGATTGCCTTTGTACAGGAATTCTTCTATAAGCCTATTATTCCAGTAGGTTGTAATTCCTCGTTCATTACTCTTATTCCTAAGGTTGAGAATCCATTACTTGTGAAGGATTTTCGTCATATTAGTCTCATTGGGATGCAATTCAAGATTATTGCTAAAATTTTAGCAAAACGATTGGTGGTGGTTCTTCCTAATGTTATTAGTGTGGAGCAGTCGGCTTTCCTTAAAGGTCGGCAAATTTTAGATGGGCCTCTTATGGTTAGTGAGTTAATCTCTTGGGGGAAAAAGAAAAAAAAGAAATTTCTTATTTTTAAAGTTGATTTTGAGAAAGCATATGATTCTGTTAGTTGGGACTATTTGGATAAAGTTATGGAGTTTATGGGTTTTGGTGTGAGGTGGCGGTCTTGGATTCAAGGTTTATTAAAAAATGCTAGATCTTCTGTCCTTGTTAATGGCAGCCCAACTGAAGAGTTTCAACTTTTTAGAGGTCTTCGACAAGGTGATCCAATCTCTCTTTTTTTGTTTCTAATTGCTATGGAGGGTCTTCATATAGCTATGGAGGATGCGGTTGTTTCTGGAAATTTTCGTGGGGTTGAGATTGAAGAGGCTAACTTAGAGATTTCTCATCTTTTTTATGCAGATGATGTTTTGTTTTTGGGTAAATGGGAGGAGGGTAATGTCAGAAAACTTATCACCATCCTTCGTTGTTTTTATATGGTTTCGGGATTAAAGATTAATCTCGTTAAATCTGGTTTGTTGGGGGTGGGTGTTAATTAGTCTGAAGTTATATCTCTTGCTTCTATTACGGGATGCGCTGCAGCTAATTTTCCTTTTTCTTATCTTGGAATTCTGGTGGGTGGGTCGATGAGTTGTATTAGTAGCTGGGATGTGATTGTGGATAGATTTCGTAACAGACTCTCTAAATGGAAAGTTAAAATACTTTCCATAGGTGGCCGTTTAACTTTGGTTAAATCAGTTTTGGGCAGCCTTGGGATTTATTTCTTTTCTTTGTTCCGTATGTCGGTAACAGTTTGTCATTTATTGGAGTCGTTTAGGGCTCGTTTTTTTTGGGTACGGAGGAAGATCAAAGGCGTATTCATTGGGTCAAATGGGATATTATCCTTAATTCCAGGGATAAAGGTGGGTTACAGGTTGGCAGTTTGGATGCGTTTAACCGCGCTCTCCTTTTTAAATGGAAGCGGCGGTTTCTTCATGAGCAGTCTTCTTTATGGGTGAGGCTTATTAAAGGGTTATATGGTCATTCTGGGGGCTTGTTGCATGATGTGCGGCATTCAGGAGGTAGGGGAGTTTGGCAGACAATTGTGGATTGTATTAAGAGAATGGAAAGTGAGTATGTCTTAGATTCTGATGCTATTTCAATTGTTGTGGGTGATGGGTCTGTGGCTCGGTTTTGGGAGGATGTGTGGTGCGGAGCTGTGTTGTTTAAAACGCATTTTCATAGGTTGTTTTCATTATCCTTGCTGAAAGATGGGTTGGTCTCATATTTTTGGACTTCTGGGGGGTGGAATTTCTCTTGGAGGCGTCGAATTAGAGGATGAGTTGAAACTGAACAATTAGAGAGTCTTATGCAGATTTTGACTCCTATTCAGTTGACTTCTATTCCCGATAGATGGTCCTGGAGTCTTGATCAAAGTGGGGTGTTTTCTTTTAGTTCCATGAGAAGGTATATTGATTCTGTTTCTCTTCCGGTTAGTGGAGTTGGGACTAGATGGAATCGGAATGTCCCAATTAAAGCTAACATTTTTTGTGGAGATTGAGGTTAAATAGAATCCCTGTTCGATCTGTTTTAGTGGATAGAGGTGTTGAGCTGGAGTCTATCCTTTGCCCTATTTGTCAGTCTGAGGTAGAAAGTATTTCGCATCTCTTTTTCCAGTGTGAGACGGCTCATCAGATTTGGATGCGAATTGGGGTGTGGCTTGATGTTTTGTTTCCTATTGACCCTGGTGTTTCAGAGATGTTTGATTGAATTGATTCTCTGTTGATTGTTCGTAGGCGTCGTTCAATCTTGGAGTTGGTTTGCATGGCGACTTTATGGGTGATTTGGTCTTATAGGAATGGTGTCATTTTTAGCCCTAATAAGTTTAAAAAAACATCTTTTGTATGATACTATTGTAGATTTGTCCTTTCGGTGGTTCTCCCTTAGGAATTCTAAGGCTTGGGTTAGTTGGATTGATTGGATACGCAATCCGCTAATGACTTAATTTTGTATTTTGCTAGCTCCTAGCTAGCTGTTTATTTTTAGTGTGAGTTTTGTTGTTGTTCAAAAAAAACAAGTATAATTTTTTTGGGCATATCGAACCTCTCCTCATAATCAAACCCCTTACAGATTCACAACCTTATCTCTTGGTACTATGCTCATTTAGAGCATCTCCAACACTCCAAATTCTACTTTTTTCCTATTCTTCTACAACCCTATCTCATTATCAGTGTTGTAAAACTCGCTGATTTGACCAATTACTCGCCCGAATACTCCTTACTCGGCCCCTTACCGAGACGAGTTACAGAATCCGAATACTCCTCGATCGGCCCGTTACTAAAGCGAGCAGTGTTCTAAAACTCAGTCAACCAGGTGATTAATATGTATAATATACTTAATGATTTATTATTTAATAGACACATGTGATTATTAAAACATATATATCTTAAATTTTCAGTAATTATTCACGTAGTGAGATCATTGTGTGTTTTTCAGTTTTTGTATATTCACATGTATCTAATTTTGTTATATATTTTAATAAACTCATGATATTGACATATATAATTTCCCTAAAAATATTTCTACATGAATTACCGAATCCGAGTACTCTCCGAGTACTCAGTACTCGGTAGTTGGCCGAGCAGGTACCGAGTAGCGAGTTCCACAACCTTGCTCATTATTTTCCTCCAACCTTATCTCATTTTTATCTCCATTTGTAAGATATAAACAATATTCCTTCAAATATAAAAGAATATTATTCATGTTTTTCAAAATGGAGTTGAAATTTCAGTTGCCGATTTTACTAATTAACTTTTTTATTTTATATATTTCTAGTTTATTTTTATATACGATAATTATAATTTAAATGTACTATTTAGTATTTGAAATATCTTATTATATACTAAATTATATTAATTAATCAATTTAGTATTTATTTATTGAATTCATATAAAAAATTTAATACATACTAAGGATTTAAAACAAAGCAACATATTTTAGAAAAGCTTAAAATAAAAATATATCTTACAAATAACATATTCTACTAAAACATACAATACTATATATAATACTATATAACATAATTACTACATGAATTATTTTACAGAATATGCACTATTACAAAATGAGCCTAATGCAACATTTTAGGAGCAACACTTAAAAAATATGTTGGTTTTTGCTCTAAAGCAACGTTTTCGAAATAAATGTTGCATTAAAATATCTAATCCAACAATTTTTTGAAGTGTTGGATATTTTACTTAAAAGGCCAACATGTCAAGTGTTGTATTTATACAAATCTAAAGGCCACACTTATTTAAAAGTGTTGTATTCATAGTAACAAAATCCAACGCTTATTATAA